AGCTTTTAGTTGGATCGCTTGTCTGAATCTTCTGATGACTACATCAAAATCTTCAGCAGTGAACAATGTCTGTGGGTCACATCAGCCTCGTTTCATTTTGAGGGTGATGCAGCCCGCTGGCTTCTGGTACTCAATCCGTCCCAAATTATAAGACGTTTTGGCCTTTCTAGATACGTAGCTTTTGCTATGCACATAGATATACACTATGTCTAGATACATACTAAAAGCAATGTATCAAGAAAAGCCAAAACGTCTTATAATTTGGAATGGAGGGAGTACATAAGAAGCAAAATCCTAATCAACAGTTGTTTGTTCATGCCGTGGAGCCTCACTTTGGTCTATATGACTATCGAACTGCTCTTGCTAAGTTGTTAGAACTGTGACAAGATTCTAGTGTGGAAGAATATGCAAACACATTCCAGACCTTGCAAGATGAGTTATTAATGCACAACAGTGGATTTGATGAGCTTTATTTTGTGTCTCAGTTCATTAAAGGTTTGAAACCTGATCTCAGAGCTTTAGTGCAAACACAAGAGTCTGATACTATGCATAGAGCCATTATGTTAGCCAAGCTTTAGCAACAAGTACTGGAAACTTCCAAATATCGACCAGCCAAAATACTCGGCAGTTCACCAGTAAATGCAGCGAAAGTTGACTCACAAAAGGGGTTCCTCAAAGTGCTCTTGGGAAGGAGAAAGGCTGTGTGGGGTTTGAAGATGTTGCCCACAGGGTGTTCGAGGGAATGGCTCAAGTGGACACACAACAACTAGTTGAGCAGGTCGTGTTTGGGGTTGCTGTGGTATCCAATGGACCTGCACATGTATTGTTCGATGAAATATCTTTCAAAGAAATGGACGCAACATATCTAGAGCAGGCTGTCTTCATGACACCGGTGGTGTCTGATGGTTGGTGATGGAGCTGTGTTGGTTGAAATTTTTGGGCAGGTTGTGGGATGAAAAGGCTGCTGCTATTGGCGCGCACCACGGTTTACTTCAGCACTCTCAGTGGATTTACTTTGGTGAGGAGAAGAAAGTTGAGTCTGTGGATCCTTTGACATCACAGGGAGCCTCAACTGTGATGTTTCATGCAATGCCTTGTACAGACATGGTTTGGGATGATGACTTGCTGCATGGCTATGAATATCAGGAGCAAGTGGTGTCTACAACTGCAGCCATGAGCAGGATATGTGCTAATCTGGACAAGCAGAAAATGTATGGATTGAGCAAGTGCAAGGAACTGCAGCCAAGGAGAGAGAGCTTTCACAATCTGTGCCTTCCCTGCACTTGCAAGGCCGCCACCTTCTGCACACGGTAATTTCAATTCATGTGCCTATTCAGAATCTCAATACTATTACAACAACAACAACAACAAAGCCTTTAAGTCCCAAACAAGTTGGGGTAGGCTAGAGTTGAAACCCATCAGAAGCAATCAAGGTTCAGGCACGTGAATAGCTGTCTTCCAAGCACTCCTATCTAAGGCTAAGTCAATCTCAATACTATTACCATTCATCAAATTCAGTAACCAAACCTGGTCACACAATCGTTTTCACCAACATTTAACCAACAACATTTACTCAGCTCACTTCACAATGCATTAGGTTTGCCTCAGTGCTTTGCAGAACTATAAGAACAATATCTCACCTCAAGTCTCACATGCTTTGCAGAACTATAAGAACAATATCTCACCTCAAGTCTCACATGCAGTAGTATAGTTCTAACAAGATCAGTTGACGGGGCGCACCACAGCTCGTGCTCAAGCATCGCTGTCAGGGTGAAGAAATCGTCGGTGCCGCACTCTTTGCAGTTGACGGGCAGCCGACGGTTTTCTTGTTTCCCTTAACGGGCTTGGGGACTGTTTTGTACACCGTCTTCTTTTTGGTCGGCATGACGTCACCTGCAAGTACAGACTTTATTATGGCACAATTGTGTAGGTGGGATCAAATGACAGAAGACTGGGGCCTGATATTAAGAACTGCCGAAATTACAGATGAATAATTGAATGTGATCGAATGGAGTAAGTCGGATCAAATGACGCAACAATACTGACGCGATCCATTTAAGTTGGGTTAAACGAAGCAGATTGAAGTATCTGACAACAATTTGTATCCGAACTATGTGTGGATCCCAAACGAGCGAATGATCTCTCGTTTATCGAACTCTGGATCCGAAACCCTTGTAGATCTCCCGATTAATCGAGTGGGTGGAGTTCAAAACCCTCGATCTCCCGATTAATCGAGTTGTATTTCCTGAAATGGCATAGACGTGGTTTTCCTGAACCGGCATGGATCTGTGGATCCGATCATGTCGGTGCACGGTTGGTTCGTGTATATCTAATCTAATAATCGGATGAAATAAATCAATCGCTGCAGGCGAAATCAGCTATTGCGAGAAGTAGCGACGTGGCATTCCGACCAAGCATCTCTAAGAGGGTTTAGGGTTCGGATCAATCAAACAAACAAGTCACGCAACGGGGGATGAACGAGCGGGGACGCGGATCAATCAAACAAACAAGTCTCCGATCAAACAACCAGATCCTCCGGTCTCCAATCAAACAACAAGAGCGTAGGGGGCACGAACCCGGTCGAGGGAATGGGGTCGGCGAGGGAGACGGCTCGGCTCTTCTCGTGCTCCTCGGAAGACTTGCACCGGACTCGGAGTCGGAGACGAAAGCCCGAAAACACTTTGCCGCTTGCGGTGAAAGCGGAAAGCGGTGAAGTATTTATATTATTTATTTGTATAAGCTGGCATAGGCTTTATTTAGTTTCTTCTCATAAAATTTACTTTCTATCACATCGGATGTTTGACACATGAGTATTAAATATAGACTAAAAATAATTAATTATACAGATTGCGACTAATTTGCGAGATAAATTTTTTAAGCCTAATTAGTCCATGATTTGACAATGTGGTGCTACAGTTAACATGTGCTAATAACAGATTAATTAGGTTTAATAAATTTGTCTTTTACTGAGGACTTATATAATTTATTTTATTATTACTATCAAATACTCTCATGTGACATTCCAAAGTTTACTTCCAGGATTTAAGCACTACCTTAGTTTTTTTTATCTGGGCTGGGCTGGCCCTGGCCCTGGCCCACTAGGGCCTGGACTCCAACGCAGATCGACCACAGCGCAGATCATCCGACGTGTTCCTCCGGGTGGTACAACGCGAAAGATTCATCGCCCCGCGCCCGCCCGCCCCGAGCTCATCCAAGGTCTTTGACGGTGGAGTGCCTTCAGTATTCTCGTCCTTCCGTCCTGCCTGTCTGTCATGGCTACCTAGTTATTAGCTTGGGCATGCTCTGACAATTCTGGCTTACCTATGACATGCTCTGATGAACACAGACAGAAGGATGAACACTTAAGCTGGATGTTTCCATAATTCAGGCATGCAAAGAAAAACACACTGTATTTGGTTGGCTGACTCATCATTATTTGTGAGTTGTGAAATGTATTGAACTTGCCCTGGCACTTTTCCATTAGAAAGGTTGAAACTGTGTATTTCATTGTTGTTGACTGTTGATTGACTCATTTCACCAAGAGATCTATTGAGCAACCCTACACATCAGTATGAATAACTGAATAATCTGTAATTCTTTGTATTTTTCAGGTTTTGACATACTAAGAAACACCATATTTACATTCAGTTACACTAACCTAGGTGTTTTCTATTTTTTTTATACTTAAACAAGGAAACTCGCATAATTAAGCATTGCTATGGCTCTGAGAAGTAAATTGTCCATCCCTTTTCCTTTCTGTCGGTTACTTCTTACATGATCAAAATTTGAAAAAGAATGTAATTTTGCAACTTAGATTTGGTTACCTCTGCTAAGCCTTGCATGCTTGGGATCACTGCAATTTTTTTTTCAGCCAAATAATTTCACGGGTGGTCTGACTGCTACTCTGTAAGTTTGTGTTGCATTCTTTTCCAGCCTGAGCTACAGGCATCGATTCAACTAGAAAGTCATAGGTTGTACCAAAATCATTCCATGACTCTGTATTATGGTGGACAAATAGAACATGGTGTCATATTTCTTAAATATAAAAACTCAACCATGGGATTACGGGAAGAAGACATCACCTAGCTTGTTCATATTGCTTAAACTTTACTGCATTCTAATATTTGGTTGAGTTCATTTTGACTATTGATATTTTCCCTTTGTCATGCTCTATACTCGTCGTCCCTTGTTTCTTTCCCAAGAAATGATCCTTATAGTGCTGGGAAGCTCATACATTTGCATAGTAATCTTGTACTGCCAAACGCTTAGCTAATAGTTTTGCTTCTATTCCTAAATACAGGTGCTATTTTCCCTGAAGGTATTTGATTTGACAGATTAATATACACAACATGGCATGCTGGTGTTTACGTGCCTTCGATTTTATACTATATCTTAGTCTCTGAGATGCTCTGTCATCAAAAACTGTTTCCCCATTTTGTAAACATGTTTGTGCTCCTTGCAAAATTTGATTACAGGAACAGGGATAGAGTTTTCATGTTCCTCATAAAATTGATGTTTGTTTTATTTATGGTCTCAAAAGTTTGATTGCACCTTTAAAATTGACCCAAATTTTAAAATTGAGTTTTAAATAATGTATTATAGCACCAAAAAAAATTGGGTTCAAAAAACAAAAAAAATAAAATAAAAAATCTTTGTCGAGGGCCTAGCCTGGCCCTCGACAAAAGGGATCTTTGCCGAGGACTTGGCCAATGACCCTCGGCAAAGAAAATTTAAAAAAAAAACAAAAAATCTTTGACGAGGGCCCGGGATCTTAGCCCTCGCTAAAAGGCCCAACCCTAAATCGGCCAGCGCCCTGGCCCAAAATCGCCGCCCACATTTCATACGCCGCTGCGTGCCGCCGCCGCCGCTCGCCCCGCCGCCGCCCCGCGCCCCGCCGCCCCACCACCGCACCGCCCGACCTCCGCGCCGCCCCGGCGCGCCTGCTCGCGCAGTTCCCGCGGCTCGAGTCGCTGGCCGTGAACGGGAAGCCCCGCGCGGCCATGTATGGCCTCATACCCGACGACTGGGGCGCCTACGCCCGCCCCTGTGTCACCGAGCTCGCCGCGCCGCTCGAGTGCCTCAAGGCGCTCCACCTCCGCCGCATGGTCGTCACGGACAACGACCTCGCTGAGCTCGTCCGTGCCAGGGGCCACATGCTGCAGGAGCTCAAGCTCGACAAGTGCACCGGCTTCTCCACGGATGGACTCCGCCTCGTTGCCCACTCCTGCAGGTACTCGTACTCCTCGATTCTCTTGCTCTTGTTAGCTCCGATCTGGGTGCTGGAGGAAGTAAGATCGAATTGGGGTTACTGAGATGGTGACAATGAGGGGGCGTAGCTACTGTCTAGTCGTTGATTCCCCGAAACGGTTGTGGAGTCATAGCACCCATCACTTTCTGCAAGTAGAAACTTGTGCTACCTTACGGAGAGTTTTTACCAAAAAGCAGGTTTGAGATCTAGCGCTAAAAATTGGGTGGACTGCCCTCAAATGATTAGAGATCCTAACTAATAATCATAGAAGATCCGCAGAAGTCTTAGGAGTGCATCTTCAAACCTGTATCATTACAGTTCGTGGCTTCTGCTGTAGATTTCTCCAAAAAAGAAAGTTTAATTGATGGTGTTAATTGTGAATAATTTGATTATGGGATGCCTTATTCGATGTATATTATATATAAAGAAAAGTTGAGTCATCGAGCAAACCACTGGGAACATGGAAGGTTGGGCTGTGTTTTGTCTTTGGATAGATCTACCAGAAAAGGAGTCTTTAAATGACCCCAAATTTACGTGTAGCATGATTGATGGGAATATTTAATGCAAGTCCAGTTAAATTAAAACAAGGATAATATCCACTGGCTGAGTTGAACTTCTGTGATTCTCTTGGTTCTAAAATTCTAACAAAATGCCCAAGCAACATGTAAACAGTGCGTAGGTCTTTCATTTTCTGTATGCTGCTAGGAGCTTTTGGTGTTTCCTGATCACCCCCGTGACATACTGTTTTAGGTGTCAGGACAGGGATTGTTATTCGTTGATTGCTTAAAAAGGGGGTTACATTTATTTGCCTGTAGGCTGTAGTGCATCCTTTTGTTATTTGGTTTTCCCCTTTAGTATTCTTTTAGCTGCTAATATTGTGACGAAATCATCACACTAACTTGTGGTGCTAAATTTCATCAGATCACTGAGAACTTTGTTTCTAGTAGTTTAGCTTAGTATAGCTTTACTTCAAGTTCATACCTGGGTTTTGCTCATTTATTAGGTTCAACCATATGTTCTTGTCACCTCAACAACCTGTCAAAATTTTTGTATATGCTGCTTCGAATAGCCCTATCGCTTACCTTGTTGTATTCTCATGTAAAATAGAGTTTTCTGTTCAATCCGTGGTAAACAATGGTTGTCACTTCTTTCACAGCACAGGGAGAAAGCATGGTTTTCAAGTTCAGTGAAGTCGAGATTGCAGTACTTAGGACCACAGCCAGGCATTCCAGTTCTAGATGACGAACACGTTAAGGGCGTTCATCTCGATCCATTAGCTGGCCCAGTAGATGCCTTTTGCCTTATGGTTCTTGATCCGGAAAAGGTTAAGCAGCCTTTTTTTTCACTTTCCTATTGTTGCTCTCATGTTTTGTGCTACCATGTGTATGATGTTTATATTAAGAGTGCTGTGTTCACTATTTTCATGCAGAGGATAAACCTAAAATTTTGACTTACCTTACCACGAGGAACCAAAATAATATAATCTTGCAAAAATTGTTTGGATTCAGAATTTATTTTTGGATTTTTTAAGTTCCCTATTTGGTGATACGATTGTAGTCACACACTATTTTTGAAAATTGTAATGCTGAGGATATAGTGTGAGAAAATGATGACTTTGGCGCTAAATAGGAATGAAGATAGGTTATGGTTCTTTTTATTGTACTGAATCCGCCCACAATTTTCAATTTACACTCCTGGCCGGCCCTGCCCCCGGCCTTAAAATGGTCTCAGCATTTCTGTGAAGATTACAATCCCCGTAAATATAGAGGCACTCTCTTTTCTACCCCTGCAGTTCCATTTAGGCTGATGCAACTATCAGATGTATACCAGGTTCTCCTAGAAAGGTTTGGTCTGGTTCTTCTAAGCTGGGATGAGATTTTATGCGAGCTCCGCCTTTTTTCCTGGAACTGATGGCTTATTATTTTTCCATCTAGATATGTCAAGATGCAATGCCCTGATTGTGGCTCAGTGCCTGATGAACCGGCACTGTGTTTGCTTTGTGGCAAACTATGTTCGCCTAGTTGGAAACCATGCATGCTGCAGGTGATAGAACTTTGCTTGTAAAAGTTCCTATTACCTTGTGTTGTGCCATAATTTATCAAACGCCTGTCCTAATTTTATTTGTTTGTAGGACTGGTAAATGCCAGAATCATGCATTGCAATGTGGTGCTGGTATTGGCATATTTCTTCTAGTGAGGGTACGTACTAGCTCATTACTTTTTTTCCCTTGAACATGCAGGAGAGCTGCATATCTTTTATATTAAGAAGAAAAGGGGCATGAGAAACCCCAAATAACAAAGAACCACCCTAGCTCATTACACATGATACTATTTTGTCCAGTATAACGTCCTCTGTTCTTTCTTATGTGAATATGCTTCAATTTTGATGGTCTTCTGCGCAGAAAACAACAATCCTGTTGCAGCGATCTGCTCGTCTGGCCTTTTGGCCGTCTCTATACCTTGATTCTTTTGGAGAGGAGGTATTGCTTAATTTCCTAATGTTTGTTATTCTTATATGGACTTATAGCTGTTTGTTACATTCTCCGCTTGAAATTTTACCTCCTGCTGATGAACCCACTTGAGCTTCTCCGCCACACAGCAGAAGTTCATTTGGCCTCAAAATCAGATGCATGCTTCTATTGTGAACATGAAATAAAATGTCCCATATGTGAAATCTTTAGATGTTTGATTTTTCCTCGAGAACAATAACAAGTGAAACTGATTTCAGATCATCTGAATGACCATCAATGGATGATGTGATGGATCTTATCATTTGTATCTAGTCATAAACTACCACCTGTATATATATTAACCTCAAGAATAAGTAAAGAATAAGTGAAACTCCTACGATTGAAACTGTGCATTGAGGAAAGTGGGCATTCTTTCATGACAATGTGAGCTTATGCTCTTTACCTTTTTGGGATGTTTGGAACTTTGGATGCAGGATCATGAAATGCAGAGAGGAAATGCTCTTTACCTTTTTTTCAATTGAGTCTAATTTTTTTGTATTCCTAGATTACTAGATGCAATCTCTAAGTTCCAAAACTGTTTTCCCGGATTACTCACACATGCAATCTCTGCTCCTTTGTGCAGCCTCCGTCCGCGGGTTCCAATCATCCCGGTAGTGCGTCACCGGGTGATCCCGCCTTTCCTTCACCACCGTCTCATAGGCTACCTTGATGAGGACTAGTGCTAGGTGATGTGGTTGGACTTTATTGGAATATTTGTGGTTTATGGTTCTGACTTGTGCTTGGATTTCATGAACTTGTCGTAATAAACATGTGAATGATGATGAACATGTGACTTGTCGTTGTAATATATTGTGATTTGTGGTTCACAATTATGGTTGCGATATATTGTGAGAAAATGGGTTCTATGTGATATATATATGTGATGGTTGATATATATATATATGTATATATATGAAATGCTTGTGTCGATGGAATGCAAAAAACAAAAAAAAAATTAAATTTATGCCTCTTTGCCGAGGGCAATGACTAAGGCCCTCGGCAAAGAAGGGTCCTTTGCCGAGGGCCGTCCCATTGCCCTCGGCAAAGATTTATTGGAAAAATTATGGAACATTTCGTTGTCGAGGGCCATGGTTGGAGGCCCTTGGCAAAGACTTTTTAAAAAAAATTAAAATTTCTTTGCCGAGGGCCTGCGAGGAAGCCCTCGACAAAGATTTTTTCAAAAAAAAAAGAATAATTCTTTGCCGAGGGCCGTCCCATTGCCCTCGGCAAAGATTTTTTGGAAAAATTTTGCAACATTTCTTTGCCGAGGGTCATGGTTGGAGGCCCTCGGCAAAGATTTTTCAAAAAAAAAGAATAATTCTTTGCCGAGGGCCCCCGGAGACGGCCCTCGGCAAAGACTCCGTCCCAGGCGCCGATACCGTGACGGCTGCTTTTTTTTGCCGAGTGCCGCTCCAGCCCTCGGTAAAGGCTTTGCCGAGTGCCCGATAAAGGACCCTCGGCAAAGACCCTCTTCGCCGACTCAAAATTCCCCGAGAGCTCTTTGCCGAGGGCCGCCCTCGGCAAAGCCTTTGCCGAGGGTTAATGGGCCTTTGCCGAGGCCGTCTCCAGTAGTGAATGTTCTGCCCATATTCTGCTTAGAAGTTCAGATTAATTAAAAACAAAGGTTCATCCCACGTATGTATCCTATGTGCATAATTACATATCAGTACACAATCACCAGCATTCCAGCATTGAAGCAAAAATACACCACGTTTTTTTTTTTTTTTTTTTTTGCCTCTGGTCCATTTGTTATGTATATGGTTTTTAACAGCAGTGCTCCTGGTACATGAAAGGATGATCTTATTCCGTCCATGATACAAGTTCATTTCTAATTCTTTGTATTTTTAGGTTTCATTACGCTGAGGAAAGTCCCAGCTTAAATTCAATTAGACCAGTCTAGGTAGGAGGCAAATGGAAACATGTTAATTTTTCTCAGCTGAAGTGTTTAGTCCAGTTAGCTGTTTGGTTTGTTAAGTATCTCAGCAAGGAAGAATGTAAGGAAATCCAGTGGTATTCAGTGCTGGTTTGGTGGGTAATTGAGATATGATGTCCTTGCTAGCTTGGGCTTCCTTGTGTTTCTTGTGGTGACAATGGCTTTCACAGATCGAGCTGAGAGCCTCTTCCTCCCTAACCTTCATACATTCTAAAGTTGCAGAGAGTACGTGTCCAGTTTTGCCTCCACTGCCCTCTGCCAGTGGACGATAGATTAATCTCTCTATCGTCTATTTATCACGCTTGCTTGCAAGCAATAGATGCTTGATATTTCTCTGTGCTTTCCCCTTTCCATTCATTTTTACTCTGTTCTCTTCCACATTTTTATTTTATTTTTTATTGATCAGAGGCCTCAGATGTTTATTGTCAATGCCTCGTATGTCTCACTGTTGCAAGCTAATATGGCTCGATGCTCTTTGTTTTATGTATCCATGGTTCATGAGGTGGCTGCTAATAATACATAATTTTGTGGAGTAGAGATGGAAGTATATCTAGGTGCTGATAGTAATACACAGCCAATTTTCTTTGAGTCCTTTGGAGTTTGGACATGTGCCGGCCGAATCACTCATCTACTTATGCACAAGCAGTTTCAGTTTTGTAAATTATATGTGGAGTCCTTGTGGTAGACTACAGTTTGAGGGATTTGCTCTCTCTCTCTCTCTCTCTATATATATATATATATAGAGAGAGAGAGAGAGAGAGAGAGAACTTCTCTGCAGCCCCTTCCAGCTAAGGCTGATGAGTTGGGAAATGGTTTCTCATTTTCTGAAAGCATACATGTTCTTCCTTGAGGGAAGCCATTCTTTAGTTTGTTTAGGGCTTTAGGAATCCTTTTAGCATTGAGATATGCTTTATGAATTCCTCTTATGTGTTTTGTACAAAACAAAATGAGCTACCTCTATGTGGCGTCTTTGTATTGCTAATTGGCTTTTGTTCTCACTCATTCTCTGTGGTTTGATCCATTTGCCTCCTGTGCTCTCTTTCTCCCATCAGGTTTGATCCTCTGATGCTTAAAGTTTGGACTCAGTAATGGTCTCTCAAGAACCGAGTACCAGTGAAAACTGCTGAGTCAAAGCTGCTTCATCATCAGCTGACTTCAGTTTACATGAGTAATTATGTATTGTATCTGTTTTATATGAACAAAATATTCTATGTTTAGGCTCTGAAACTATAACCTATGCACTTATGACATATAATGCCATTGGTTGCCGCAGGATTATATGTAAATGTAGCACTTAATTAAATTATATGCATGTCGATTGATCCAACATATTGTAACAACGGAAGTCCTGGCCACCTGCTATCCTGCTCTGTGCTTCATACTATTCCAATCTAAACGAAAACGTCATGATGATACGTTTGAATTAGTTTATAAAAAAAACAAAATATTAAATTTATTTTTCAGCATACCATACCAAGTGCGGGCATATGAAGACAAGATCTGGCAGATCAAACTTACCACAACGAGAATGGTACAACCAACGGATCAAAAACAGCGCTACAAAAAATAGTGAACGAAACTGACTCCAGTCGTTGCTCTATGTTACTATATATAATGACTTCTAAATTGAATTGCCTTTAACAATGTTCATCGCCTATGAACCTTCCTATTATACTAATATAGTATCAGATTTCTAACAGTATAATTGCAAACATATACTAATATATATCAGATTTCTACCGTTTTAACTGCAATGACAGAACATCGCATTTGTTCTTTGTTGTTCTATTTTTTCGTAAAGATCAAACTCAGAATTATGTAATCAAACACATGTTTCTTACACGCGCATGGCCGCACTTCCGTCACAAATAGTGGGATGTGGCTCCAACCTCCAACGGAGCCGCTGCAGCACAGCTGCACATCTGAATATCTGACGGGGATGTGTATTTGATCATAGGGGTTTTCAGACCCCTAGTGACCACCCTATTTTAGTGAAGTTATGAAGCCTCTGTATTGGTAAATAAGGTTAGTATTCAAGTTTCTGTTCCTTTTTTCTTTTCCAATAGAGGGCTCATGGCACATCTGAAAACACAGGCAATGCTCATCTATTTACACCATGGTGCCATATTGAGCTGAATGCATTATCCAGATGAGCTAAATAGCCTAATGTGCTGATTGGGAAATATAAACAAATTCCTTATATTTTAACAAAAATCCAATGACAAGAAGATATAGTATAGTACCCTACCATATAACACATGAAACCAGGAATGTATATATACTAACTTACATAATTGTTCCTATATGGTGTTTCTTCACATAAGACGAAGTAAATAATAGCAAGAAATAATGTGTATTTAGAGGTACGTAGCTAGCTTAGCTAGGTGGCACAATCCAGAAAGGTTTGCGGCAGAGAATCAAGTCGTCGTGATGGTGGACCTGGGTAATCTCTTGAGTGTTTGTTTCCAAGTCAAAAATGCACAAGTCAGCATCATCATCGATGATATTCTTCATGAAGAATATCTGGTTTGCTTTCAGTCCCAAAATGCTCGCCGAGCAAGAAGCCGCCGTGTTTGCATCCTCCTCCAAGAGAAACACAACATCTCCAATGTCATGCACCCTGCGCCAACGGTCTTGTGTTGAGGAGGAGGAATCCATCCTATACACCTCTATGGCGCCAATATTGTTTGGATTGAAGGCAATGAAGCCCATGGTGACTGCAAAGAGTTGATCTTGCGACTCAACCAACCACTTTTTGCCAGAGGACAATTCTTTGGGGAGGTTGACGAAAGGGAAGTTGAAGTTTTGGAACCTAGGGCGGTTGTGATTTGTCGTGGAAGTGCAGGATGAGAAATCTATGGCACACATATTGTCTTTAGACGACGATTGGCTGAAGTAGATTTTTCCTTGGAAGGAAGCCATTAGGAAGATGACTCTCTTGATAGGACGGATACTACGACGTGCCTTCTTTCCCTTTGGTGGCTTGGGGACAGAAGCACAGTTACCGATGTCGTAGGAGTGATGTCTCCAACTGATGCTGTTGTTCTCGCCGCCGTCACCAGCGGTGTGACAATACCAGAAATCAGGCGTTTCATAACTGAAGAGCAC